AAGAAGGGGGATGGTCCCCACATAGACATATAACATGGGAGGGTGTAGGGGAGGGGTGGTCCTCACATAGATACACAACATGGGAGAGAGTAGGAGGATGTTCTTCACATAGACACACAACATGGGAAGATGTAGGAGGGGGATGGACCACCCATACACACACAACATGGGAGGGTGTAGGGGTGGGATGGTCCTCACAGAGATACACAACATGGGAGAGTGTAGGGGAGGGATGGTCCTCACCTAGATACACAACATGGGAGAGAGTAGGAGGATGTTCTTCACATAGACACACAACATGGGAGGGTGTAGGGGAGGGGTGGTCCTCACATAGATACACAACATGGGAGAGTGTAGGGGAGGGATGGTCCTCACCTAGATACACAACATGGGAGAGAGTAGGAGGATGTTCTTCACATAGACACACAACATGGGAGGGTGTAGGGGTGGGATGGTCCTCACAGAGATACACAACATGGGAGAGTTTAGGAGAGGGATGGTCTCCACATAAAACATGGGAGGGTGTAGGAGAGATATAGTCCTCCCATAAATACAACATGGGAGGGGGTAGGGGAGGGATTGTCCTTACATAAATACAACATGGGAGGTGGTGGGGGAGGGTTTGTCCTCACATAAATACAACATGGTAGGGTGTAGGGGAGGGATTGTCCTCACATAAACACAACATGGGAGGATGAATAAAAGGGTTGGAACTAAAATAAACACACAAGACTGGTGGTTGAAGGAGAGAGATGGTCCACACATATTCACAACATGGGAGGGTGTAGGGGAGGGATTGTCCTTACATAACCACAACATGGGAGGGTGTAGGATATGGATAGTCCCACATAGACACATAACATGGGAGAGCGTAGGGGAGGGATGGTCCTCACATAGATCATAAATACAACATGGGAGGGCGGAGGGGAGGGATTGTCCTTACATAACCACAACATGGGAGGGTGTAGGGGTGGGATGGTCCTCACAGAGATACACAACATGGGAGAGTGTAGGATAGGGATAGTCCTCACATAAACACAACATGGGAGGATGAATAAAAGGGTTGGTCCTAACATAAACACCCAACATTGGTGGTTGAAGGAGGGGGATGGTCCACACATATTCACAACATGGGAGGGTGTAGGGGAGGGATGGTCCTCACATAGATCATAAATACAACATGGGAGGGGGTAGGAGAGGGATAGTCCTCACGATGGTCCCCACATAGACAAACAACATGGGAGAGTGTAGGATAGGGATAGTCCTCACATAAACAATAAACACAACATGGGAGGGTCTAGGAGAGGTATAGTCCCACATAGACACATAACATGGGAGAGTGTAGGGGAGGGGTGGTCCTCACATAGATACACAACATGGGAGAGTGTAGGATAGGGATAGTCCTCACATAAACACAACATGGGAGGGTCTAGGAGAGGTATAGTCCCACATAGACACATAACATGGGAGAGCGTAGGGGAGGGATGGTCCTCACCTAGATACACAACATGGGAGAGTTTAGGAGAGGGATGGTCTCCACATAAAACATGGGAGGGTGTAGGAGAGAAATAGTCCTCACATAAACACAACATGGGAGGATGAATAAAAGGGTTGGAACTAAAATAAACACACAAGACTGGTGGTTGAAGGAGAGAGATGGTCCACACATATTCACAACATGGGAGGGTGTAGGAGAGAAATAGTCCTCACATAAACACAACATGGGAGGATGAAGGAGAGAGATAGTCCTCACAAAAATACAACATGGGAGGGTGTAGGATATGGATAGTCCCACATAGACACATAACATGGGAGAGAGAGGGATAGTCCTCACATAAAGACAACATGGGAGGGTGTAGGGGTGGGATGGTCCTCACAGAGATACACAACATGGGAGAGTGTAGGGGAGGGGTGGTCCTCACATAGATACACAACATGGGAGAGTGTAGGGGAGGGGTGGTCCTCACATAGATACACAACATGGGAGAGTTTAGGAGAGGGATGGTCTCCACAAGTCCTCACATAAACACAACATGGGAGGGGGTAGGAGAGGGATAGTCCTCACATAAACACAACATGGGAGGGAGTAGGAGATGGATGGTCCCCACATGGACAAACAACATGGGAGGGTTTAGGAGGGGGGTGGTCCCCACATAGACATATAACATGGCAGGGTGTAGGAGATGGATGGTCCCCACATAGACAAACAACATGGGAGGGTTAAGAAGGGGGATGGTCCAAACATCAACACAACATGGGAGAGTGTAGGGGAGGGATGGTCCTCACCTAGATACACAACATGGGAGAGTGTAGGGGAGGGATTGTCCTCCCATAAATACAACATGGGAGGGAGTAGGGGAGGGATTGTCCTCACATAAATACAACATGGTAGGGTGTAGGGGAGGGATTGTCCTTAAATAAACACAACATGGGAGGGTGTAAAATACAACATGGGAGGGTGTAGGGGTGGGATGGTCCTCACAGAGATACACAACATGGGAGAGTGTAGGAAAGGGATGGTCCAAACATCAACACAACATGGGAGGGATTGTCCTCACATAAATACAACATGGTAGGGTGTAGGGGAGGGATTGTCCTCCCATAAATACAACATGGGAGGGGGTAGGGGAGGGATTGTCCTCACATAAATACAACATGGGAGTGTGTAGGGGAGGGATTGTCCTTAAATAAACACAACATGGGAGGGTCTAGGAGAGGTATAGTCCCACATAGACACATAACATGGGAGACTGTAGGGGAGGGATGGTCCTCACATAGAAACACAACATGGGAGAGGAGAGAGATAGTCCTCACAAAAATACAACATGGGAGGGTGTAGGGGAGGGGTGGTCCTCACATAGATACACAACATGGGAGAGGAGAGAGATAGTCCTCACAAAAATACAACATGGGAGGGTGTAGGGGTGGGATGGTCCTCACAGAGATACACAACATGGGAGAGTTTAGGAGAGGGATGGTCTCCACATAAAACATGGGAGGGTGTAGGAGAAAGATAGTCCTCACATAAATCCAACATGGGAGGGTTTAGGAGGGGGATGGTCCCCACATAGACATACAACATGGGAGGGTGTAGGGGAGGGATTGTCCTTACATAAACACAACATGGGAGGGTGTAGGAGAGGGATAGTCCCACATAGACACATAACATGGGAGAGTGTAGGGGAGGGATGGTCCTCACATAGATACACAACATGGGAGAGGAGAGAGATAGTCCTCACATAAATACAACATGGGAGCGTGTAGGGGAGGGATTGTCCTCACATAAATACAACATGGGAGGGTGTAGGGGAGGGGTGGTCCTCACATAGATACACAACATGGGAGAGTGTAGGAGAGGGATGGTCCAAACATCAACACAACATGGGAGGATGAAGGAGAGAGATAGTCCTCACAAAAATACAACATGGGAGGGTGTAGGGGAGGGATGGTCCTCACATAGATACACAACATGGGAGAGTGTAGGAGAGGGATGGTCTCCACATAAACACAACATGGGAGGGTGTAGGGGAGGGATGGTCCTCACATAGATACACAACATGGGAGAGTGTAGGAGAGGGATGGTCTCCACATAAACACAACATGGGAGGGTGTAGGGGAGGGATGGTCCTCACATAGATACACAACATGGGAGAGTGTAGGAGAGGGATGGTCTCCACATAAACACAACATGGGAGGGTGTAGGGGAGGGATGGTCCTCACATAGATACACAACATGGGAGAGTGTAGGAGAGGGATGGTCTCCACATAAACACAACATGGGAGGGTGTAGGAGAGGGATGGTCCTCACATAAATACAACATGGGAGGGTGTAGGAGAGGGATAGTCCTCACATAAACACAACATGGGAGGGTGTAGGAGAGAGATAGTCCTCACATAAATACAACATGGGAGGGAGTAGGGGAGGGATGGTCCTCACATAGATACACAACATGGGAGAGTGTAGGAGAGGGATGGTCTCCACATAAACACAACATGGTTCACATTTTGTTGGGAAAGGAAGCTGGTCAATCAAAACATGGTCCTGAAATAACTACAGATATTTAACCTGTTTCAGGAAAAGATGGCTGAAGAAAACTGGGAGCCCCAAATCAAGGATTGACAGGTGCATTTTTAAAGATGAACAAACAATAACACAGAAAGAATTTAGGAGTTTTGACATCGTCAAATGAGTATTAATTTCTATTCTGCGGTTGATATTGTTTAAGGTTGACATTTTAATCTCTGCCAATACCAAGGACTAAGGATTTCCGACCTGAGAAATGACACACTTTAACATGGTAAAAGAGTTATTTTTCTTTTAAATAGAAAGATGTGCATCAAAAACTGCCTAACAAAGGACTAAGCATTCCCGTTCTGCCATTGAACAAACATGTTGCAAGGTTTTGCATGTGTTAACTAGAGACATGGAACTACTATTCTTAAAGTACATATGTTGAAGTGATATCAAATATTTGATCTTCATATACTTTCCCCATTATGTTTTGTATGAAAAATATGGGAGATAGATGGTTCACGAGATATAGCTTCATGTTGTGGTTACAGTAAATATTTAACATATTTTTAGGATATATGCTACCTTATGCATCAATCCTGTAAATTTGTGTTAGTTATCTTCCTGATGATGTTTTAATTAACAGTATTATGTCATGTAGGGATGAATGAATTTATTTTGTTTCCCCAAACCAATTAAAAGTTCATAAAAGTATACAGATAGCATACATGTGTCATTCTATGGGTTATATACGGGTGTCATACGAGTTACATACATGGTACAGTCAGGTGTTGTACTGGTTACACACAGATGTATCATACAGGTTAGATTATGTAAGGTTTAATACAGGCGTCAAAAAGGTTACGGTTATACAGTTTACATACATCACATACAAGTGTCATACTAGCAGTTACATAGGGATGTCATACAGGTCATATGTGTTTCTCCCAACATTCACAGGTGTGTCTCCCATTTTAGCTGGGAAAAATCAGCTTGTCGCCCCCTAGGGGCAGACAGCCTCGTGCCGATTAGCATGTGTTAAATTGTGACGTCATCAAAAGTGAATGACGATAGTCATACCCCACGTGTGTTTTTGTTTACACTACTGTCGGTGAAGCTGTGACTAAAATGATAGGATGGGAGAAAAATAATCATCCCCTACCTTAAGGGTGTAACAGAGAAATATCCCACCCTCGGGATGATTTCATCAAAGTGTAATATAGTCCGAATTATTCTGACGTTTTAACGACTTTTTTCATATCAGTCTGTCGTCAGTCTGTCGTCGTTTAACAGACGACAGACCTGAAAAAGGTCGTTAAAACGTCAGAATAATTCGGACTAAGTGTAATACAGGTTGCTTGTTTTAGAAAGGAGACACATGTGCTTATGATCAAAAACGTATGCAAGAAAATTAGATCGGAAAGTTGACAAATACACAGAAATTTAATAAATTGAGCAATTTTCATACATATATGGCTAGTGTGTATGGTAAAAAAAGCATATCGTGAATTATTATTTAAAAGTATACTCTGTAATCATTAGTGACTGGATCACCAATCGACAGTAAACTGCATGCCTCTGTCGCTGGTAATGTTAGTGGAAACCAGACATTATTACCCTCTAGTTTTTCTCAAAAACGCGGGTACATCGCATTGACTCTATGATTCCATTATATGCTTTTTTAATGACAACTTCTGCCATTTTTTTCTAAAGAAAATTAACATGCCGAAGAGGCCTGTATCGCTTACCTAAAAAGTAAAAAATGAATGTCTCGGCTAATCACCTAGCTGGTTACTTAACGGCCCAACAACGTTAAAGTCATATTGGGCCTGACAACAATAATAAGGGACACTTTCAAAACTGTATATACCAAGGGAAACTGAAGGGTAAAAGGTTGAAAAATGCATGTATAAGAACACAGCGAAATAGTCAGATATGGTTATCACAAGTATTTTCTTAAATGCAAATTTCATGGTACAGACCAATTCAGTCAATCAGAGGCTATAGCAAGTATCATTGATTAAGAATCAATCGGAAAACATTCGGCCCAGATAATGAGATATTCATTTAGCTAATAAATGATCATGTGGATCATGCAAAATCTAAAGACGTTTCAATCCCTATTTCCATATGGAGAGCGAGGAGACGAAGTGGGAACACACTATCATTTACATATAACACTGCCTTTAGTCTTTTTAATTTCAAACTAAATCAAAGTCCTATAACACTGAAGTAGTGTTTAAAATGTTTCTACTAATAACCCCCATTGGGTCTTTCCTCGACCCTAAAAACATTGAATTTCATTGTTCAGGTGTGTACGTCCTACTAAATTAAGCGGACACCGTTTTCCCTTTTTTCTTCACCTTTCTGCCCCTAGGGAACCCCTTTCTTCAATTATACAACATTTAGTTTTGTTATTAGGGTTACTCCATACGTTTTAACTCTGAAACCATATCATCCTATTTAAGTATTGCCAGTAGTTTTCGGAAGAGTGGCACCCTATATGTTTGTTTCACAGGAGCCATGCACTGCACCAGGCCGTCGTATGTTGCATCTTTAAGCGAGGCGCCCTTTGCTTAATTAACTACCTTTACCTGCCTAGACTGGAGTAAAAAAAGGTATTGATTGAGGATTACGCTTTGGTATTGTAGTATTTAAGTCAGCAACCTGTAATTGAGCCTGAATGAAACATGACCCATAACAAGCATAACGCGTATATAACTTCCAGTACACACGCACTCTCATATATATTAAGATATAAAAGGAGATCGCGTGGTAAGGTGTCTTCCACTCTCTCCCGACTGAGTTGAATATAGACGTCTGGCATCCCTTGGATGTAAGCTAAACCAATACAAAAAGCATATGTCTACGCCTAATCAAATATAATAATACATATTTGACAATGGTGCATGTGACACGACCAGTAAGTGATAGATGCGTCTCTTAAAATTGGTTCAAAAGTTCTTGGTTAACCAATTATGTCATGTCTATTTTTGAAAGTGTTATTTCACTGGGATGGTGCTTAAACAGTATTTAATGTTTTGGTGGATTATTTTTCAATTTTGCATACTGTATATATTACCAATTTGTATAGGTTCAATCACGTGCGTGTATCTTACTTTAATCTTTTAACAAGGTTTAAAAAGGTAATTTCCTTGAGATCACATAAGGAGCTATGTAATATTTCATGCTTACCTACCATCAAACATTGACATCCCTTGGCCCAGGGTCCAACAAGAGGGTTCGTTACAAGATTCTCAAATCTCTCAAACTGTCCCAACGTCACTCTCAAATCTCTCAAACTGTCCCAACGTCACAAGTGATACATCTGAAACAGCTACACACTCTATTTTAATTCATCGTATTGACACCACGGTACCGTTTTGCCAGGGTTTTTTCACCAAAAAAACCCAATACCATGTTTCATATAACCGACACTATGGTGTCATTCCCCTTTGATGTCACTTTCGCACACAATTCGTTGAGAGCTGATGTCTGCTGTTCTCAGAAGTAATGTTACACAATTTCCGTACTTTTCCACCAGTTATTTGCACGTTCCCTAGAGATAGGAAACAAAATCATTATTCAACTTGTCATTGTATTATTTTGTAGTGTAAAAACAATGACAAGAAAACAACAAAATTATTTTTTTTTTAGACAAGAATGGAAACAAACAACAACATTGGAAACAGAAATAAGAATTGAAATGGAAACAGAAACAACCTTGAAACCTGAACAAGAATGGAAATGGAAAAACCAAATAAAACCAACATTTCAAAATGTTTCTAAAATAACTTACCGGTCCTCTTTGCAATGTACAATTCATCTTTCCTCAGATATTACGACCCCTAGTCCTTGTCTCCTACCCCAAATATGTGCTCAAAGTTTCCATATAAACTCGTCTTGTCCAGATTATTCAAGAACATTTGAGGTTTTAAAATTTGTCTTGAGATAATTGCATCTGGCATGAAAATTGAAGTGTTTTTTACATGTTCAACAAGATCAGAATAAACCATTCATTCACGAAGTCCGAAGTCAAATAAGTGCATGGGAAAACTGTATTTCGCATTGTGTAAAGGTACAATAGTCGAGAAAGAATTAAACAAAAAAGTACATGAACTTGACCCTATAGTGTGATTCCGTTGACCAGAAAGGGATTCAAGTCATATGTTCTCGATACGAGACTTTTTTTAACACTTTCTCAGTCCGAAAAAAATTACAACATATTTATATGACTGCTGCATGATAGGTTCTTCTGATCAGTGACCAAGTAACATGCACATGTATATTTATGAGAGAAAAAAGAAAACAACAAGGCAGCTATAAAACTTTAATTTTTCATGTAATACTTACTAGTACGGAAATCAAATCTTACTGTGTTAGCAGCAATCGGCTAAGGCATTTCAATTCGTGCCGTACTAAAGCCGAGTCGGTAGTAAGCATTCTGATGGTTACTAAAAACGGAATGCATTGTTTATTGAAATAGACACCGGACCTTGAAATCGACGCAACTTCTCGACAAACATCATCTCGTATTCATAATGAAAAAGAGTTCAAATAATAAAGACTGAACGGTATGAACTGAGCATATAAAAGTGGAAGAAATAACCATAAAATCCACGGATACAAGGAGCTGATCACTCGACATGAATCCCTATTGTAGAGAACGTCTTGCATTTGCGATTTAAATTTACCTTATGGTATTGGCGGGATTCAAGTCATGTGACCTCGCTTGGAGCCTTGTTTTATGCTTTTTGACCTCCGATTTATATTGATACCCATTTCATATTTGTTCACAAAGCAACCAATAACGACTAAAACAATACATGTACATGTGTTTGTGAATGTTAATTTAGTGATGTAAACCTAAACACCACCCATCCCAAGAAAAAGCACGGTTCCAAAGAGTTACTCACCCAACATGAACCCCTATTGTTACGGCTGTCTTCTATTGTAGGTATTAACGTTGATTTTGGTTTTTTGGCGGGATTATAGTCAAGTGAACTCGATGAAAACGTGTTTTTACCTTTTAAACACTATATATATGAGGACATTAGCTAGTGTACATACAAAATCAACACGGTAGATCTAGTTGATTATCGCCAACGTTTCCAAGCCTTACGGACATCTTTCTCTTCAGGCATTTACTTGTATTAAAATACACAAAGTTTTATTTTCTCAGTATAATACTACAAAAAACACATTTATTCGGTTTTTGCATCGTGTTCCAATTTTCCTGATATATATCCAAGCAAGCATGAACATGTTCATTTTTTTGGGGAAAAGACAATAACAGCAACGCAGTTTTAAAACTTGCAACACTTCTATTTATTTTTCAAGTAATACTTATTAGTGCGGAAATTATAGATGGTCCAGCATTGCAACAATAGAATGCATGGTTTATTGAAATAGACACCCGACCTCGAAATCGACTTGTCGACAAACGTCATCTCGTATTCATAATGAAAAAAAGTTCAAATAATAAAGACTGAACGGTATGAACTGAGCATATAAAAGTGGAATAAATAACCATAAAATCCACGGCTACAAGGAGCTGATCACTCGACATGAATCCCTATTGTAGAGAACGTCTGGCATTGACGATAAAAATTGGATATTGGCGGGATTCAAGTCGTGTGAAATCGCTTGGAGCCGTTTTTAGGTTTCTTATACCTCCGTTTTGGCGTTTTTTTTAACATTTTGAAATGTATTTT